TTTGAATAAAGTTCATAAATGTACAAAACAATGGAAATGGTTTGTTATCAGTACATTATAACTCTTTAGTAATATCCACATTTTCAAAGCAAACTGCATGCGGTCAAATGTAAATCAATACAACTATTTCTGCATGCAGTTTGCTTTTCAGACCAACTGTATACAGTTAAATCGTCCTTAACAACGGTCAATAAGTGCTTGACAGCGGTCTGTCTGTTCGGTATTAACAACGTGTCACGTGTTCTGAATTGACCAATCAGAATCGAGTATTCAACTAAGCCATGTAATAAATGGATATACTTAATAGAGACACAACATGACTACACATTGACATGGATATATTTAATAGATACACACATATACATGGATATACTTAATAGAGACACAGAATGAGGACACAGAGACACAAAGGAGATGCCTTTAGCATGTCTGCTCATACCACCCATATATGAAGGTGTAAAGAAGATCAATAGATGACTGGAAGTGGTGTCATCGGCTCATCCTTTGGTATGAGCGGAGATTTTAGCACAATTCCAAACTTCTCCTTGAGAACGCCGGGTATCTCGTCGTCCTGCAGATCCCTGGTGGAGGTCTCCAGCACAGACCCCTCTTTTGGGAACGTGGTGGTGATCAGTCTGCGGCCGATGTAGGTGAGCCTCCCCTCGGGGGTGAGGATGGTGCACAGGGACTTGCAGAAGAAGAAAGAGCATGGAGAGCTCTGGTGGAACTGACACATCTCTGCGTAGTCCTCCAAGCGACGAGGGTCCAGGGTGAACTTGTAGATCTCCGTCCAGTCTCCATCTTCTCCTCTGTTCTCCTCCTGCTGCCACTCCAGGAAGAGCATCCCTGAAGTTTCATCCCTGACAGGTGGAGAACAGAGCTTGTATTTAAAAGGTCCCCTATTATGCCAAATACACTTCTGCATATTTCTTCTACATCAACATGTGTCCCCTCTTCTTCATGTCTCTTCTACATCAACATGTGTCCCCCTCTTCTCCATGTCTCTTCTACATCAACATGTGGCCCCTCTTCCTCATGTCTCTTCTACATCAACATGTGTCCCCCCCGTTCTCCATGTCTCTTCTACATCAACATTTGTCCCCTCTGTGTAAAGAGACTCTGAAAGTTTCAGGAGAAAAGATTCTCTCACTTTTTGTCCTGATCTATTTCTATAAAAAACCTGTCTGAAAAATGAGCTGATCAGATTTTGGCCACTTTGTGATGTCATAACGATTTTTTGGA